AAATATATAAAATTTTATGTTTGTGGTAATATAAATAAATCTGTCATAATTTTATTATTATAAATGCATATATAATTAATATGCACATAAATGTCCGTGAATAAACATTGTTTCAATTAAATCGTGTAATTACTGATTCGTTGTTTATCCGCTTAATTGCAAATAATCGTTGTTTTTACGTATAGCTGAAATTTATTGGTCTGCTTGTACTATTAAGTGGCCTTGCGGAGTTTTTAAATTACGATTTGGATAATATCTAATTATTATTCTTCGAAAACTTGTTATTATTTTTTACTTGTAGAATTCGTATTATTCATTAAACGATATACTTTAACTCAATATTAAATTTATTTATAATAGGTGAAGTAAAAAGTTCTGAGCGTTTTTCGTTACATGGCTTTAGTGAGCCATATCGCACAATGTATACGTTGCATCTTGTCATTCTATACTGCGACTTAAAGGCGACATAACGCTTTAAAAAAAAGTTATTTGACAGTTTTGTGTTTAGTGAATCCAGTTGTGTGTTTGAGGGTTCCGAAATGGAGGTAAAAATGAGAAAATTTGATATATTTTTCAAATTCAAATTGGTGTTGTTTATGAACCCAATGCAGTATCGAATGCAAGAGTGAAGCAAGACGTCGAATATGGGACATTTCTTGTATCGTCGAAAATGTTGATAAAATCATTGAAATCGTCAACCTGCATACACTTATTCCATTGCCTAGGAACTGAAGATTAGCCAAAAAAACCGTTTTGAACTATTTGCATAAAGCTGGTCTTAAGAAGAAGCTAGATGTATGGGACAAAACGCTCAGAACTATTTACTTCTCCCAATATATTACGAATTTCAGGAAAGAATGTCAAATGTGGGTATTTTTACAGTTACAAATGAATACTATACCTTTACACTTACATTACTCAATAGAAATCGAATAATAAATTCATGAATGAGATGTGATTGGTATGTCGTAATTCTAAAGTAACATGGACATTTTTTTTAAATTTATTTTAACTCGTGTTATTAGTTTTATTGCAGGTGCATAGAGAATTACAAAGTCGCCGATTTTCAAAAGCCGCATATTAAATTATTCGAATACGATTAAGAATTATTACTAATTTAGATAATTGCTGATTCATTCAAATGGGATTATGAGCAAATGTCATAAACTTGTAAACTAATGTCACAGCAAAATGTCATGCACAAAAAAAAACGTACAACCGTGCAATTTTCACTTAATTATAATAAACATTTTAAAAATGTATACGTTAATATAACCAAAAGATTTTTTTACTAAAGTAACCTTTCAAACAAAAAAAATGTATTCATCATAAAGTTAAGTACAAATATATAAAATTTCATATACTTCTTTAGATTGGTTTAATTGTTTCATTACTTAATACAATTAACAATTACTCGATTACCTCGATATCTAAATTTAAACATATTTTATTAAAGAAAACAAACTATTTTTCAATAATTGACTTTATTGTTGTAATAATATATTTTTGAACAATAGGATTGATATAGGCAACTTATCGTACATATAAATATATATGCCACTAATATATATTATTGTATACCACAGTTATATAATAAATTATAAATATTATTGCTGAAGAAATCACAATGTTTTTATGTATTATCTATGTTTTAAAATTCTATGAAATAAATATAGGGAAAAAGATCATAGTTGTAGAATGAAAACAATATTGTTTATTAAATATAGTCAAATAATTTATTTTTGTTTACAAAAAGTAAAATTGTTTTGTGTTTGTAGAAAAAAATGTGATAATACAAATAAAATTGGCGATGTGTAAATTTAATATCAGTCTTGGTGGGTCTGTGAGCAAATGGAAGATTATTGTTAATATTATATAGAATATGGAGTTAAATGGTACGTAGCTAATATTTATCTTTGTAATTGAATTATAACTGAATATGTGAGGCATGGAGCTATTGCATATTCATAGACTATCCAAGTACCACGCAATAAAGAAAATTGAATCAGTTTAAGGCCGTTTTACGAGCCAATCCGTCCGTATTAGATATTTTTTTTGAATGGAGTCGTTTTAATGTTAATAGTCGGCAATAAAGAAAGCGATTCGCAAGGATGAGACAATATAAAATTCATATATAGGATCCGATCCTGCCATCTAACGGTGCGCGCTCCGAATTCGAAGCGCACGAAATCAGCGTATTTAATTTAATTTACTCCAGTTTATCCATTACTTTTTTACACTTAGGATGTTAATCATCACCAAATTTTAAATATTTTCAACAATAAAATATTAGTAACTATAAAAGTGCGGTAATCAAATATAAATATGTCATAATGACAGAAAATAAATGTTATTTTTAGCAACACTTCTGGGCGCACCATGAGCTTGCTTAGAAATCTAATTCCATTCCGTACTTAAGTCGGGCCAAAAGTTGTGATGTGCGCTTTCAAACAAATAAATACATAATAATTAAAATTTATAAACTTTTCGATGGATTTTTTCTCTCTTCATCGTCAGTTCGTTTAGTGAATTTCGAGTGTTTTCTGCAATGGCCACAATCGACTGCTCCAATTTGTAGCGTATTGCGAAGGACTTAATACAGATTTAGTTAAAATGCATCGGAGGCCGCACCATCATCCCCATAAAAAGAATGTCCGCGCCTATATACCTTTTGGAAGAAATCGAAGGGTAAATTTTGAGTTTTCAATTGGGGTTTCCGAGTTTGCGTTATGATAGGTTAAGTCTTGTGGTGTTATTAATAGCGAGACTAGCTGAACATTCCCTCAAGGAAAAATGAATGAAAATAATAAAGCAGTTTTTGATATAACCAATATTCATTAATCGTCTATTTTCAGTATTCGAAAATCATGTTATCACCTGACATTACACCTGATTGCCAAATAAAACAGTTTTAATACGATTTTGGTTTTATTGTAATTGTTTACTGATTTCTTATTAATATTAACCAATTCTATTATTTCATTGTTTTTTTTTTTGTAAAATAAAACATTACGTTCACAAAGATGTGAAACAGAAGGGAAGTGAGCGATGCTTATTTGGTTGCAGCTGTGTCTTACTTAGAACGCTAACATTATTTTTTTTATTGAGTCACATCCTCTGTCTTTATACAAGGCCTTACGAAAATAGACAGTTTTATCATTGAAAATATTAAATAAAAATACGAAAGAACGTTGGTGCCTTTGCAAAAGCTTTACTTCGAATATTTTAAAATAACAAGGTTATTTTTGAATGTGACACTGTTTGATTTGGACGAATTATTTACTTAACTAAATATAAAATCAAAATAATCATTATTTACATTATATACAGTAAATTTAAGAAATTGTTATTAACAAATTCATTTTTCAAAATAAACAATTTATTAATTTTAGTTTATGGTTAATAGAATTAATGATAATAAATAGTAAAGTTGATGGTTCTCTTCATTTGAATTCTACTTTTAACTAGTTGTAAGGAATTTAAAATTATAAAAAAAAGGAAATTGCTAACCTACATGAATGTAAAATTAAAGTTATTAGCTTACTTTTAATGTTTCTATTGAACAAATAAGCAATTTAGGCAGTCTAATCGTATTTCAATTAGCCTTTTGTTATATAATTAATTAACGAATATTTCAAACGTTTAAAGTTATTAAAGTTGCATACCCTCTTTCATTACAATAATTAAACATGTATAAGGTATTGCATACACTTATTATATCAGTGGTGTTTATTTGAATACAAAAATATCTACATTTATTTAACTATATTAAAACCTGTTAGAAAATAACCCCAATACACTAGATATGAATTTATGAGACTATAGTGAAACCCTTATAGATCTCCCTTATAGATTTTAAAATTAGAAGAATGTTTTTAGTTATATGTTTTTATTGTTAAAATAAATATTTGTATTATATTAGGCAATTTGGAAGGTTTTTAATAGGAAAGTATTCCGTTCAGTGTTATATTTTGTTACAGTTTTAAAACTATTTACTCGATTCCAGCATGTGGCAGATTGTAATTAAAAAATTAACACTCTAATTTCAATGCAATTACATACACTTCCAGTAAACAAAACAAAAATTTAGATACTGTAATTGAAATAATATTTTAATTCATAAAACAAAAATAAATCTAAGTGAATTCAAGTTTATCACGTGTTATGGTAAAATTTCTTGTTGTAAATAAAAATCTTAATTTGTATTGTATTTTTTTAATGTCTGCAAGTCTTAATGAAAAGGAATTAATGTCAAATTGAGAAAGTTTAATAATGACTTAATTGAATATTTAAAAACATACATAAATAATGGACTCAATTCAATTTTAAACACAGATTAATTTAATTTAAATTTACATACCCGGCGCATCCACAACAATTAACAAAATTTTGTAGATAACTGCAAATTACTATCTTATTAAGTTTTATTAATGTTTGTATAACTACTTGGCAAGTACTTTGATTTGTCTAAATTTAGTTGGAACTTATTTATTAACCTAATAACAGAAATAATTTATTTTTTAAATAGGTCTTTTTATAATTAAACTAAGACTAATAGTCGTTTAATTAATTGATTTATGTATTTCAAGTTAATAAAAATTACATGTATTTATAAATTATGTAGATATGTGATTAAAATACATTTGAAAAGTTCATATTTTTATTAATTATCATTATATTAGCATTACAACTTAAACAATTGTAAAACAATAATAAAATGTATTGAAAGACGCACATTTTTGACTTGAAGATATTAATTTATTATGTAATAAATTTGTTAGAATATAAAAGTTTTATGTATTTTTATTTACTAATTGAACGATAATATTTATATAATAGTTAATCGTGTATCTGTCAATAACTGAAACTATTTTTGTGAAGCAATCACTTATTCTAGTCGATATTTACAAATTACTAGAAATTGATGAAATTGCCAAAGTTCAAATAGTGCTGATTTTTTAAAATGAAACAGGTGATTCATTGCCATTCATAAAATCGAATGACTTGAATGTTGAGTTACGTTACATGTGAAGCAGTATTAGTTCATTCATTGAATTAAATTGAATCTGTAAATGAAAAGTTGTTTTTTACTTTGAAGCAAAGTGCGTAAGAAATGCGTAAAGAAAGTGCGTAAATAAGGAGTGCGTGCGTTGACGTGAGGTCAAAAATACTTGAGGATGAATGCGTGGTACGAGACAGGAGATGTATAGATATACGCATAGAGAGTGTGAGAAAGAGAGTAGATACAGGACAAACAGTACAGAGTCGGTGGTTTCGAATCAATACCGACGCCTGCGTCGAGCAGCGCTCAAACCCCACCTCGACTTCGATGTCTGTACATTCCGCATCAGAAGCCGCAACGTCGGGACGAGGCGTCGAGACGCCGTGTGGAAATTCGCCGCCGATTGTACACCCCTAGCGGCGCTTTTCCGCATTAACCCCACATACATGTTACCGAGCAAAACATACACACACACATTTTCCCCCATTCATCGAACGTCCCCACATTTTAAACCCAGTATTTTAAGTGTTCTGTGCTTCATTCGGACCAAAAAAAAAAACTCGCCCCGATGTGCCTACGACCAAGCCGACAGCGCCTTTAATTTATGATACTTAGAGTAGAAGAAGACAACTGCACTGCCAAATAAAAGTCCGGTGGACCGAACTAGCTGGAAACCGGGCAATCCCTAAAATTCCAGTAGGCTATGTCGCAATATGATATCCTACAACAGTTATAACAATCAGGGATACAATAAGCTTTTCACCCAGGTGAGAATACATTTAAATAAAACAGTACTGTTAAGGTGGCCGAACGCGCCTTCTCAGAAGCAAATGGCTTGAGTCATTACCGGCTAATTAATCTAATACTATCTCTCTCTTTACTCTCCCACATATACAAACTACATACAAGATATATATATATATATATACACTAAATGTATATTGAATCCAATAAATTTACTCGCGCAGTGAAGCCATGAACTGGACCGGATTCTGGAGTCCGTAACCTGATTTCCCAGAGGATATTCAACCCTGGTCATTTCCTTCGCTGCTGGCTTTATCTGTGCTTACCTTTTATTTTCCACAGACCGAATTCGAAACGCAATCATTTGGAAACTAATTGACCGAAACCTTCCATCGAACAAATCATTATCTAATTATCTTAATTGACGATTGCGCAATAATCGCTCGATTATTCAAATTGCTTCTTTCATTTAGAAAATGGTTACTCTTCCACACGAGATGAACAAAAGATTAATTTATTATTCCAGTTTACACTCACGCATATTTATCAAAACTGTTATTAATTACGTCCATTAGATTAAATATAGTTATCATTATGAAACGAAGAATATGTTTATTCGAACTACGAAAATTCGCACAACGTTATTTTGCTATGCTAAACATTACGAATCGATTTTATACAGTTTCTGTTTAAAGTAATGCGTTGAAAAGCTGTGTTTAAAGACCATTAGGAATTCCAAGCATTTCTATGCATCACATATATTATATAAACAAAAATTTAATTTCACTCAATTTTATCCATCAAAAATTTACATTATAATACTTCTCAATGGGGTTAATTTACTTTATATTTTTGTAAAAATAGTAAAATTAATTCCGGTTTCTATATTTGTTTACTCGATGCAATTTATAGAGTATTCGTTTACTTTCTTTGGGACCGCTGTTTACACGTGAAATCTGTGTGTACAAATAAAAATTAATTGCCTGCACTATGTTTCCTTTCAAGATAACTTCTTTGAGGTTTCAAGCATGATACATTTTAAAAGGAATTCCGAAAATAATCACATTCTACTTTAATGTCTTCAAAATAAGTAAATACGCTATATGTCTGTCTTTGTTCAATATTCTAAAATAAATTGATATGCAATACTTAATTGCATTTATTATTGTATTTAGTATAGACAAAAACATAATTTTATTTAAAACATTTTATCTCACGAAGGAAAAGTTAAAGAAAAATTATTAGTTAACCATTGATTTGTAGAAAATTCACATGAAAATCGATTGAATAATTCATTATGTATTAGGGAAATTAGTGCAGCTGCTGAGGAGTTGGTATTTTATAAATAGAAAATTAATAAAGTGCATGCATGCATTTGAATAAATTATGGAAATTGCATTGCATCTAACGAGGTCGATGTTTATTCATTTCAAACTGCACCTTTTTAGAATGATAATATTCACTGTTTCCTTAATTTTGTCACAATTTCAATTTATACACAAGAAAGCAATTGTAATTAAATGAATTTTAATAAGTATTTAAAAAAAACGACTACGCGAATGTCTATGTTTGTTATAAGAAGTTCTGGCTTATAAATATTTTTGATCTTTTCCCGGATGTTACGTTACATGTTTTGTTGCTAATGTTTGCTTATGCTCGTGCTTTGAACTAACATTTAAAATGTTTTTTTTTTGTCGGGGCAGGAAAACTTCGCTCGATTTGTAAGTAAATAAAATGAAACTGAAAGAACCATGATTATTTCCTGTAGTGTGTAACTTAACACCATTACTGAAAATACCTTCTAATAGATAATCAATAACGAATGAAACTTATCTACTTGTGTTTATATATTTCGTAATATTTCTATTTTGATATATATATATTACATGTTAAGTTCCCTTTTTTATTTACTAATTTATTAATAAAATCTATTTAAGAATTTTCTAATTAATAATTGAAGATATATTTGGTGTATCAACTAGGAAATCAGCGTAAAAGAGATGTTGAAAATTATGAAAATCCAGAAAATTATTTTGGTGCAGAGATTTTGGCACAAATAATTTAGCAATAATTTTGTATCCTTGACAATACCATATATTACTTTCGCTAACAATATATGAGTTGGACCAAATCCAAATCTGTTTTGTCTTTTCCGATTTCCTAAATTGCAATTACGAATTGTTATGATAATTAAACAAAATAATAATTTATGTGCGGCATTGATTCGTTGATTTGTGTTTTTTCCTTTTTATTTACATTGTTATTTTGTTTGTTTCTTTGTATGTCACTGGTTGGCTGATGCCTTGTATATGTCGCATGCTTGCCAGTGGCATCGCAACTAATCTATGTCCAAGTACACTTCTCTGGTAAGAAAATCTTGTTACGACAACTGCAATTAGTAATTCGTGTATTGATTGTTCAGTTAGTGTTGTGATCATTTCCATCATCAACAGAACCATTTCGTCTCACATGAATGCTTGCATAAGTTGGCATGTTGACAGAGCTTCGACATCATTAATCCATTTAGGCATGCGATTTAAATGTGTAAATGTTAATACATGTATTAAACGTAGGGTTCATTTATTGTCGTATTTGTAAGGAGTAATCCTTGTATGTGCACCGATGATTGTCGTTTGGTACAACTTCTAAATGTTTTCGTTGCGGGTTTTACAGGGCTCAGCTGACTCTAACTACTCACAGCCATCCTCGGATCTATCGCTGGACGAGGAGAAGGAGACCATCCGCAGGGAGAAGGAGCGTCAGGCCCTTAGCCAGCTCGAAAAAGCGAGGGTACGTTCACTTCTTCTTTTAACCTTGTTTTCCGAACATCTAATCCTGCTAAGGCGATGGCGCCATCTGTCTAAATATAGAATACAAAGGGGCGGATTGATTATCGAACCGTAATAAATAATTAGAGCCGAAGGAGGGAATCTGTTTTTCACTAGACGCACCAACTGCAAATAGGTCACCCGTGGAATAATACACCGTGTGACGTATTTCCAGGAGGATAACTGACTTTGTAAATATGTAATCATGATTTTGCTGCGCGTGTTCATGTACTTCTCATAGCTGTGCATTGTATAAAGCATTAAACAAATGGAAGTAAATATAGTAGTTACGTGTTCGAACCTAACGTGTCAGGCCTTTGCACCAAATCACGCTAATAAACAATCAGCGTGAAACAAGTATAGAAGTTCTTTCTCCGATACTCTTGTTTTCTTCGTCGCTCTGCTTTTAGAACACATTCCATACGACCTCAATTACTATTTTATTATTAGCCAAACAAACCAAATTTCTTCCAAACAATAACAAAAAATATTATATCATGATATTGTTAGATTTTTTAAAAATATCTTTCATAGTTTACTATATCGTACTTTATGGAATTGATTTTTGTAATATAAACTATTTATTCTACATGAAATATGTTCAATAAGAATCATATCAAAATCACTTCTATAAAAATAATACAAAATCATTAATTATTCTTAATATTATACGAAATTAATATACATTATGCATTTTTCTTTTTAATAAAATAAAAAAGAAAAATGCATATTTTTATCAATGACAATTATAATTAATTAATTTAACACAACAATTGTCATAAACAATATATTATAAATCTAATAATTATAATTTATTGATCACAATAGAGAAAAACATAACTTACATTCAATTCTAACATTGAATGTAAGTTATGTTTTTTTTTTTAATATTATACTTCTACTTTACTGTCGCATTTTTAAATTACACAAGGATACAATAAAAAAAATTGCATATTTTTGAGAACCATATTAATTATATATAATGCAAATTTATATTTCATTATAATTTGAAGCCTAATTCTATGTGAAATTTATATTTTATTGTTATATTTTGTAGACAAATATTTAATTATTATATAAATAACAAAATTTAATAAATATACTATATATTAGAAGTAATATTGTGTCCTTTTGTAAGTTTGAGAAGTAAAATACAGAATTTCTATTTTAACGTTGATTAGAGTTGGATAGAAGTGAAGTAGCAAATGGCGATGACTATATGGTGCTTTGTATGCAACGAATTACATTGTGTTAGTTTGCAAATGAACGGTGTTATTTTTATACCGTTTTAGTGCAGCATTAATGTAAACGAAGTGTGAAATAAGATTATGTCTGGCCCCGAATGCCAAACACAAATGTAAGCGGTTTAATGAGATTTAGGTACAAATATAACTGCTCCACTTAGTTAACACGTGTAAATGTTATTGTTATTGTATTTACAATGGGGAAAGCAGTCCGTCTGTAAACTGTTAGATATGAATTAGCTAGAATCCATTTTGAAATTGCAGACGAAGCCGGTAGCATTCGCTGTAAGAACGAACGTCGCCTACGATGGTTCCGTTGACGATGATTCCCCGGTCCATGGATACGCTATTTCCTTTGATATAAGAGATTTTCTTCATATAAAAGTACGTATTATAAATACAAGGAATTTATTTTGTTTTGGAGATTAAATGATAACTGCGTTTACGTTATTTTTTCAGGAGAAGTACGATAACAATTGGTGGATCGGAAGATTGGTGAAGGAAGGCTGTGACGTTGGTTTCATACCATCTCCTGTGAAGCTCGAGCATCTTCGTCAACAGCAGACCACTCAGACGAGGACGACTAAGTTGTATTCGAACAAACCGACGAGCTCGAGCTCAAATATCGGGGCTACTGGTAACAATGTTTCCAGAGGTAGCACCCCTCCTACGCCCGGTATGTCCTTTCCACGCCACACTCGTGGATTTTTTTTTCATAAGAAAAGAAATGATTTTTGATTTTTTTTTCTAACGTTTTTGTTTTTACGTCGAAACCCTTGTATCTTTTCGTGATCCAAAGAAATAAGGAAGATTGTTCTCTGGTACAGTTATTGCATATTTCATTACCAACTTTCAATACCATACACAAACAAGTACATTTATTTCTTATAAATAAATACATTTATAATTTATCAGTTAGAACATTAAAGTATATTATTATTATAATTGGAATTGAATGATAAACATGAAACATATATACATCATTGAGAAATGAATATTTCTTGCTTATTTCTATATTTTAAAACTTGCTGTAAATATGTTATATTGACTTTCTTCTTTCTACATTTTACTTTTTTATTTTTACATCAAAACCCTCTATATTTTAGTGAACCAAAGAAATAAGAAGATTGTTCTCTGGTAAAGTTTTTGCAAATTAATGTAATAATTAAAGTCACACATTTAAGAATTGAAGTTAAATGAGAAACAAAAAATACATGAAACATACATACATGATTGCAAAATATGTTTTTGAGACAGGAATATTTCTTGCTTATTTCTTTATGTTATGTTTTTCCGTAATTAATGTACGTGTTTTATTTTTACTATTATTTTGTGACTTGCTGTAAATAACGGGATTTTGTATAAATTCTTCCTATTTTTGTTTACTTTATTAATGCTGCACGGATACATATTTTATTCATTTTTTTTTAATACAAAATTATACAACGTGATAAGTATCACAATTCTGCTAACTACGTCCAAATCCGCTGTCCAAAAAAATAATAAGTCTTACTCCCTAACATCCTATACTCTCTTCTCCTGACAACTTGGTAGTTAAGTAGAATAGTGATTGATTATAGTAAATAGTCTCTAGCGCAATTAGGTTAGAGGATAAACGTTTATGCATGGATGAAATGGTGGAATGTATTGTTCGAATATTGATGTGTATGTTTTATTGTGTTTAGGTGACGAGACGGATTCCGTGGGTAATCCACGATCTGCAAAATCCCTCACGACGCCACCGGCAAAGGAAAAGAAGAAACCCTTTTTCAAGAAACAAGAAGCCATGGCTCCATACGATGTAGTGCCTTCGATGAGGCCTGTCGTCCTCGTCGGTCCTTCGTTGAAGGGCTACGAGGTCACGGATATGATGCAGAAAGCTCTCTTCGATTTTCTCAAACATAGGTTTGAGGGAAAGTGAGTGGAAACTTCATCGCCCCCTTTTTAATTTCTGATTTATGATATAACATGACGACTTCCGTTCCGGTTTCAGGATAATAATTACGAGAGTGATGGCTGATATATCCTTGGCAAAGCGTTCGCTTTTGAATAACCCTTCGAAGCGGGCGATTATAGAACGCACGAACACACGGACGAGTTGCTTGGCCGAGGTCCAAAATGAAATCGAAAGGATTTTCGAGTTGGCTAGGACCCTGCAGCTCGTCGTTTTAGATTGTGATACAATTAATCATCCCTCGCAGCTCGCCAAAACGTCACTGGCTCCAACCATAGTTTACCTTAAAATTACTAGTCCAAAAGTAAATAATAACAGACTGACGATAGGATAAAGTGCAAAGAATTAATGTTTTTTGTTGACGTTTCTCAGGTTCTTCAAAGATTGATCAAATCGCGAGGAAAGACGCAAACTAGGCATCTAAATGTACAAATGGTGGCCTCGGAAAAATTAACCCAATGTCCACAAGATATGTTCGATGTTGTTCTGGATGAGAACCAGTTGGAGGATGCTTGTGAACATATCGCCGGTTATTTAGAAGTAACTTGAAAACTCAACCAATTTCAGGAAATGGGAATAATATTTTAATTAATTACAGGCCTATTGGAAAGCAACGCATCCTGAAGTTGTTTCTAACGTTCCGAGACCTATTGGAAATTCTCCTCAAGCTTCTCCCAGCGGTGAACCCGGAAGACCAACCCTGCCAGGTAATAATGATGTGTTCATTTAATAACTAATTATCGAGTCACGAGTATATGAACATCTTAATAAGTATGAATGTGTTCTACTAACTTCATTTTTGCAGCCCACCACGATGTTTACGGCGGATACGCCCACGATTCTAGAGGTAGTCGTCCTGGTGTTAAATATATTGGATTGCAAAGTTGGGATTCTGTAGATTCTCTAGAGTCACTATCTTTCTTATAGACACACACACACTGCATGCGTTCTGCCATGCATTGAGATTACAAAATATTTATTATATTTATTTTGCATTTGCCAATTTGTTTGCCAAACGGATCCCTCATATTACTTTTTATCTATATATTTAAACTATTTAACATTTACTAATGATACATAACCGTAAGCCTTAATTAATATGAAGGGATGTCGTTTAGATTTAAGGGAATATAATGATTGTACTAAAAAAAAAGATCAACATATGTAACGAGTCAATCCTGAACACAGTATTCTCCTGAGAGTATTTATTCCATTTCGATGTGTTTATATATATTGAAATTGAAAGATGTATGGGTCCAAATAAATATAAAGTTGAATATGCTTGGAGATGATCGTTTGATCACTTTTCGGTTTCTTTGCAGATTTTTCTGGCTCTATGACCCCCATACCGGCCGTACAATAATTATGTAATAGTTTTCGATTTTCATATTTTGTGTTTCTTTGATTTGATGATTTTCATTTATTTTTATATTTACATTTTCCTTTTCATTCTGTTATTTACGATCTGCACGGTTTTCTATTTTCCTAGATGAGTTATATATTAACACGATGCTTTTCTCTTGTTTTTTTCTCGATATCTTATTGCTACGCAACGCACACGCAACGCTTGCGCTTCGAAATTATTGAAATTGAACAAAAAAAAAACACAACTTAAAATAAAAAAAGATGGCGAGGTGGCACCAAGTCCTGGTAAAGTTTGGCGAGCTGGTTCGACTGATCTATTTGCTTAAATTTGCTTCGTTTTGTTTTATAATCTATTATTTTTGTAAGTAAATATTTTGTGATTTGTGACCGTCCAGTGTGTATTTCTTAAATTAAATTTGAAAAATAATTGGTTTATTGCTTTTTTGGGGGTGAGTTTTGATTGGTATTTAATTTTGAAAAATTAGAAAAAAAAAAACGTAGCTAGTGTTTGGTTGTTGGATTAATTTTGTTTTATTGTTAGTGCCATCTTTTCATACGGGACATAATCGAAGTCGGCCCCGTTTGGAAAGAGAGCGCGAATACGATGAGTACACGGATTACGGGGACAGACACAATGCACACATGCAAGGTGAAGATTATAGGGATAGAGGGATGGAGAGGATGTCCAGGGATATGAGAACTAGGGAAGAGGAATACCCGACGCATAAAAGCTCATCAAGACGGGCCTTGAATCCCATCTAGTGGAGGCTTTCTGCGGAGCAGCCCATCGAAGAGGAAGTACTGGAAGAGGAATATTACAAACCGCCATTGCCCATGGAATATAGGGACGAACGAAGACGATACGAGGATCTGGATAGACGAAGAGCAGACTACAGGAGATATGAGGAGAAAGGGCACAGGCAAGAAGGTAGGAACTACAGAAAGGAACTACTCGAACGGTTTGCTGATATGGACTTCGAGGATACGAACGACCGCCATCAACGAGACTACGATTGATGGCTCCACTCCGATGGGAAGTTCCGCAACCCAATTTGATTTTGACTGAAACAGAACTTTAAAGAAAAAAAATAAATCCAATTTTTCAGACCATTTTGGTGCCATATTTGAGTAATAGCTCAATTTTTACTCAATCTTACTTAAAAAAAAAGAATACCTTAGGTGAAAAGAGAACAAACAAAATGAAAATATTCAAGCTTTAAGAATAGCCATATATTAATAAATTTTTAAATTAATTTCTCCCCAAATTAAAACAAACAAACAAACAAATAAGAACGTTCAAGCTGTAAAAATATTTCTGTATTTTATATATATACTGTATCATATAGCTTAAATGAGGAAACTAAAGGAACTGAAAAAGTATATTTCCAAAAAAAAATCGTTGCTCCATCCCCCTCGACGAAAACTTAAAAAATTGAAGACAAAACAACTTCGCTCCCTTCGATCTTCACATCCAATCGATTTTCAATTGCTTAATTTATTTATGATTTTATTTTTGAATTTATATTCGAACTACGTGATATTAATATATAAAGTTTAATGTCATGCATTGACTGAGAGTTAGGAGAATATTTAGAACGTTCAAGTTTGCACTGCTGTTAGAAATTTTACGATAAGTAGATGTAAACCGAAAAGTGCGCGAGAAAAGGAGTAAAACTGTAAAAAAAGGATACCAAAAATAATGACGAGAAGCTTTATATACGGAAATAGTTACATTTATATTGAAAATAACGAGAATCGTGAGCTAAAAAAAACACTTTCATCGATGAAGGCGCATTGTTATATCTGCAACAGAATATTTAATCTTGTTAAACGATAAAAGGCGATCGAGTGGTTTTTCAACGCATATTTTCTCTTTTTACAAAATATAAAACATTCTATCGCTTTTTCTTACTTCGAATATAAAGACAATCAGACTTTGATTAATAATATAGTATAGAAATCGTCATTTCTAAAGGTCATTAAATAGATATTAATTTTATGTGTTAAATACCTCCATATTCCATTCTATAACTTTTTATTTTTTTTTTCAATTCTCTCTTATTAAGTTAATTTTTATTTGTAATTGAATTAGGTTCGCACGCAAGGAAATCGTTTATTAAACTAATAAATTATAAATATTATTGCCTTATTGGATCTAAACTGTTTCCTTGCGCGTTTCAACCATAGGCGAATGTTTCTAGTTGAACAGATTTTCTGATGATTTGGAGTTGCTTGTATAAAGTACTGAATGTTAACGTACAAATTTCTTGTAGTCTAGGCCTGTTGTGGATGATAATAAGTGCCCGAATTTTCTAGCCCTGAGTCATTTTTTTTAAGTGAGAATAAAAAAAAGGAGATGAAGAAGCAAAGGAATAAAAATCTTTAATCGCGGCATTAATTCCACCGACCAATTTCGCTGAAACGAACGAAGTATGAATTATACATGTAAAATGAAAACTGAGGTTAAACCACAAGAACAAAAGGTACTTTTACTAGTCGTAGCAAAATTTGTAAAATATATTCATATATATAATATATATAAAAAGAATTTGATAATTTTAACGAATGCCCCGTCCAGTTATACAAGATTAGAAATCGCTAAGGTTTGCACATGTAATGCAATATTTGCAACTTAACTATTTATTAAAAAAAAATATGTATTGAATTTTATGTTACGTTTTTGAATATATTGTTTAAGAAACATTTCGAGTTTGTCTAAATCGACGGGGCGTCCGTTGTGCGGTTGCGTTGTTGTAAAGAAGAAAAAAAAACTTTTTACCATTATTTATCAAATTATCGCAAGTTATATTACCAAGAAATCTATAAAAAGTGAATGTAAAAGATATTCATTATGCTGTTAAAATTGGTTGAGTCTATTGAACTTTTCAGAAAAAAAAAAACATTTATTATAAATTATATTATAGCAAAAAAAAAATTAATTATGAAAGAAAATTTGATACATTGTAAATAGCTATTAAATATAAAAATTCTATAAGTATTTTCTTTGTATTTGCTTTATTTGAGTTTTATTTCCAGTGTATTTCCTGGGTTCGAAATAAATTAAACGAATTGATATATATTGTTAAGACTAATAATAAAAATTTATTGAAATTTGCTAAACTCTAATTTCCTGCGCATCATGTTAAAAAATAAATATATTACAGATAAATAACAATAAAATCATATGTACATAATATTTATATATTTATATATATAGATATAGATATTCCGATGTTGAGCGTTTCCTACACCCTCTTGATGGAGGTGATTCGTTGTATGATGCTCCTCACGGTTCCCCTTTATTTGGTTCTTTGATCACATTCTCACTATGCACACTGTCCAGAGTTTCATCCTTCTCCTCCTCCTCATCTATTATACTAATATCCCTAATTGAAGGTCTATGGCTACGTCTCCATTCCTCAGGAACAACAGGGAACTTCGTTTTCGTCAACAACCTAGGACCTGATAACGTAATTAGGATGGCACCGGTTGGCGCAGTTAACATTATGGAAAGGACGCATATCATCAGCACCGTATCTGCATATATCTTATCCTTCTCATTGCCACTCTCTGTTACTAAGATCAAAGCGACAGGACCCAGTGCAGCCTGTAAAATAAGAATAAGATTAAAGAAAAACAGTTGTTACTTTGTAAAGCAAAATATAAAGTATCCTTCAGTTAAACATTAAGAAACAAAAAAAAAGCAAGAATGTAACACATTTGTTAGTATAAGAGAAAAACTGATTTTGTTAGAGAAGTTTCTGCTTTTATCTTAATTGGTATATTGTGTGTGTGGATCTCTTTATTACATTGATCTAGACTGAACTATATCAATCAATCCGTTGCTTAACTTTCAAGGATGAACACACAATTTGCATTATTAATGAGATTACGATATCATTTACATTGTTAATACAATTGAAATACATTTTTAAACAAAATAAACCTATTATTACAGTTATGCTTTTATTCTAACAACCTTGTATGTTAAGTTGCATAGCCTCTACACTTAAATGTGAATAAAGTCCAACAGTTACGTTACTTACATAATTACTTTGTTGGTTTTTCAATACAAAATAATTTTGTAATGTTTTTTAGTTCTATATACTATATTACGAATTTAAAAAAAGTTTCAAATTATATATATAAGTTATGTTTTGAAATATTTTCTTCGAAAATCACAAATCAATTTACTATAAATTATGACTTGAATTTTTAAATATTTTTGAAAATTTAAATATTAGAATATGACGTACTTGTACAGTGGCTTTGGCCATCCAACTGAGAGCGACGAATATCTTCTCTTTCAGGTTCAATTTACATCCGATTCCAACGAGGATTGTAGCCAAAATTCTGATGACGACGCCGGCAATGAGACATCCAATTCCAATACTGACGATGTTCGGGTCAAGTTCGCTGATCTTGATTTGGGCTCCGGTGATGCCGAAGAGGATGGGCTCGAAGATCATCCAGAAAATTTCGAAAGCCGTCACCGCAGGATTCTCTTCAATTTCCCATCCCTGCTTCGACCAACATACCAATGAAACAAATGCTGCAGCCACGCAACCCAAAGGTCCGGCTCCTCCGTAGCCGATTCTTTCGCTTCCAAAAACGGCAATTAGGCCACCCACAAGTAGCATCAATATTCTCAAGGGCACTACAAAAGGGTCGTGCTTTTCGGGAGCGTAACAAGAAATCAGACCCCAGATTATACCGAATCCGATTCCGCCAACGATCGAGATCGGCCCTTGCAGAATCTGCATTGTTAATGAGTCATTCGAGAACATTATGCTCTGCATGATGCCGAATATCGCGACGGAAGTGGCGTCATCGATGCCAGCGACGGCTATAATCAAAGTCGGAATGCCTTTAGCCACTCCGTAGCCTTTGGATCTAAGGCGGAAGAGGCAAGGCACAACGACTGCCGGTGAAACGGCTGCAATTATCACACCTAAAAGACATCCCCAGATCCAAGGTAGATCCAAAAAGAAGTGCGTCGTAATTGCTATAATCCCAGCTTCTACAAGCCAGGGCACCAATCCCAATTTGATCACAGTGAATTTTAAACGTTTCAGAGCATGTGGATCCAGATCTAATCCGGCTCGGATCAATATAATTACTAAAGCTATTTTTCTGAAATGCAAAATAATTTTAATTAAACTTTCATCAGGGACATAGTTTTGTTGCTTTTACCTTAACTCTTTCGTAACTTCATTGAAATTCTTGTCGAAATCCACGAGCCCGACGTTTTGAAACAAGAGACCAACGAATAACATTCCAATTAGGGCTGGGAGCGTGGTTAAACTCATAAGCCAACCACCCAAATGAGCGCATATCGTCAACAAAATTAACTGGAAGAGTTGCCCTCCGGGTGCAGCCGTCTCTCCAAGCACTGTGTAGACGATGCCCCAGCTCAGGATTCCGATCAGACACAAAGCAATAATGCGGGAGAATTGTCGATACGTCGGGCAGAATGGATATGGACACAGCTTGTTCCACATCGGTGGCTGCCATGAGGGATGAGGCGGCTCGTTGGAACGACACTTTATGCAGAATGTGTACCACCACGAACTACAAGAAACAAAACGTTAGTCTAGTGCAAATATTAACCAAACGATAGGTGCATTCGTTAGTGTTCAATTCTAATTTTTATATATATAAAAAAAAGTAAATCAATCATTTCATTAACATGCGTGTGGTCGTGCATTAAATAAATAATTAAGTAAAAATTTGCTGGTTTAAGCTTTCGGTACATACGCCATCAGACCACAACACGGGATACGCCTATGGATACAAAATAGTTTCGATTTAATCGGCCGTTTTAATTGGCAATTAGGGGTATTTCAGTCAATAAACACTTACTGGTCCTCGTCTTCGGCGACATCGGAAAACCGCGTCCTGGAATGCATGGAATCCGTTACGGAATGAACGGAATGCTTCTTGATCCTGGCATCACCATTTGCGTATTTCGCACAATCTGAAACGGAAGGCTCCTCCATATTAGTATATAAACAATAAACTTCTTCTAAATTAATATAACCCCAAAAATAGGTATACACATAGTCCTATCGCACATCATTTTTTTGAATGTAATGCAAAATGTATATAGTTATTAAAAAACTAGAATAATAATAAACACAACTATTTCGCGCAGTTTTCGCTAGAATCATACTAATAAATAAAATATATATAAGTTTGTATTTATTATTTTGAAAACAATAATGTCAAGGGATAATGAAGAAGATGATTGGGACAGGATTTTGCTGGGTATACGAACTTTAAGAAAAAGTTTGAATTTAGCTTTAATTTCATACTATAATTGTAAAAATAGATATCTGATAAATATTGTTATTATATAACTTAGATGAGGATTGTTTGCACACATATTCTTGTTGTATTTATGTAGATATAGATTGGAGAGAAACTGGTTCAAGCGGTTAGTAGATAGAGGATGGTGTTAGTACTACCTTCGTGGTTATGATATATACTGTTTAAATTGTTGCCCTGGCTCTCGAAGGCGTGTGCATTGTGCAGAATGCTCTTCTTCCGAACCGGACCCATTTCCGCGTGTTCGGAAGCCGAGGAAACTTTCCGACTCCTTGGAGATTCGAATCCCAAGTTGTCGTGTCCATGTAGCGTACTTCCATCGTGAGTCACTATGCTCACTTTCCGGCTGTTCGGTTGTGTCGCCGGCTGCTGCGAAACTACCTCCTCCTGGTCCACAGACATCACGATTACTGCATAGAAACAAAAAGAAAGCATAAAATCAATACATTTAATTACAATATCATTTTTCCTACACACATTTTATATACGCATTGATCTTACTATCATGTAAAAAAACCATATCTAATAGCCTTTTTAACGATTCTAATTTATTATTTTTTTTGTTGCATTTTCTCTGCTAATTGCTACATGAATCACTCACTCGAATTGATTGCTTTTCTGTTCCATGTGAAATTACGAGTTTTTATTTGAAAAGCTATTCACGTAATAATTACAAAAGTATTCCGTAAAGAATGATACAAAAATTGAAACATTTCAAATAGAATTTTTATGCGATTCTACGAAGGCTGTCACTCATTGTGCAACATTTTAATATTAAAATTCACCTGACAAAGGTACGGAATGGAAATGAAGCAAATAATTAATCTGATTACAAATTGTATAATGAGCGTGTGGAGCAGCAGCAGATTCTGATGGTTCCTGCCACTGGGCAAGGGAATTGTTGCATCATTCATCCGTGCACGGCCAATTTAATACCTTCATTGCGGCGTTACGTAAGCGCACTTTTTATGTAAATCTCGGCTTCCTGGCAGGTAGACAACACCATATCAATAAAACACACGTACAACGGCGGTCTGTTCCGTGTGTCCATTGTTGCCTTAAACTGACTGCTAAAAGCCATCAATATTGCTCATTCACTTACTCAATTTACATGAATTTATTATCAAATAATAAACAACATTTAGTAACCAAATATTGTATTTATTAACCAACTTTTCTTTAAAATAATAAATAAAATTACAAACAAAATCTATACAGTTTTGCAATAACATAGGTCATATAAACATTTTTAATTAATTATATAAAAAGCTATGTATTTTTTTTAATTTTATACTTAATATTGTATATAATTTCTATAATAATTTATGTAATTAACTAATAAAAATATATATTCTCATTTATTTGTACAATTGCATTGTAATTTTCCTGTTATATTTGGAAACATTTTTTTATAATTACAATAGATTTTATTAACTAACCTGCATAAAATACACATTTAATTATTAATCAATTTTATTTTGCAATTCATTTAATTGTAAATAATAAATGATTATTATTGCGTTGAATTATTCAATTCATAACAAATACATAAAATTTTCCACGCAATTTGCAATTCAAGCATTTCACTGCAACATTTATAATTTTATCGAAATATTGAGTGTTTATTAAAATCTAATAATAATTTAATGATTACTAAACTAATGTTGTTATTTTCGTGTATTTACCGTGTTCTACTCTTGTCATTTTCGTACATCCTTCAAAGTTGGTAATTGACGTTCCAACATGTGTTACATGATTATGACATTTCCAATTGAATGAAATAGTGATCATTCATGGACATAATGCAATACAGGCGAAAAGTCAACAGCCTGTGCTGCATATGTCTATTTCATTCTTTTTGACCGAATGCATGAGATTGCATACAAATGTAATCAATACCAATAAATATGCGAAATTTCTAAATGTTCGTTACTTTTTAGTTACACCGTTAGAAATCAAAGTTAAAGTAAGTTGAATGACATAATAATTAAATTTCTATAAAAATCTATCAAGTTTTATCATTAAATATATTAAACACATTTAGAATTATTATATTCTTTAAAAAAATATTCATAAAAATCAAAGAAATTTGTTAATATTTCTTGGATGTTGATGATATTTTTCATTGTTTTTATTATCATTAATAAAGAAAACTGTATTATTTATTTGATAGATATGAATTGCAATATTTTGGTAAAATTATACAATAATTACAGAAAAATTTGAATGAAAAATAAGTAATTTGCATAAATTGTTATTATTATATCATACTGAATTATGAATTAATTGTATACGAAAACATATTTTATAAAATTAGCATTTGTAATTATTTAAAAAAAATTACCATAAATTTAATTTATTTAAAATTATTTTGTTTACGATAAAATGCGCTGCATTTTCACTGTGAACTAATGTAATTGGATTTCTGAATGTTTTCACATATTATAAAGGAAAAACAATGCGCGTATTGTTAACAAAACGATGATACATTCAAATTGCTTATGTATTCGTAACTCAAAGAAGCTCAAATTAGTTGGATCAATGACAACAGGATCACATAATGCGTACAAATTGTTTGTGCCAACAATACGCTTGTTTCTACTATTTGAATTTCTCATCATGCCATTAACAATTGAAACAATTCACTAATCTAATAATCTCTTGGCAAAATCGAACGCCATAACAACATACAGTTCTGTATTTACGTTTACAAATATCCAAATGTTCAACTGTAAATCAATACGCTCATTCATTTGTTATTCGACATGACTGAAACTAGATTTGCTTAGTTTATCCACTTATGCGTATGTTATATTTTATAGCAAAACTAGTAATTCTCAAACGCAATTTTAAGTTTAAATTACTGTACTTGCTGTAGTTGTAATGCAATGGGCCTTGACCCAGTTTTCAAGCTGAAAGTGCGCAATCGTCAAATCGACACAATTATCAAAGCCAGATTCAACTTTGGTCACTCTTCAGAGTTTGATGGACTTCGGCTTCGATGTTTTATGTTACAGTCGTTTGCTTGGACGGACAACAATTGGAAAGCTTAGATCTAATACCATCAGTACTCTCTATTGTGGAAAAGCTGTGATTTGTTTTACTACAAAAGTTTAACAAAAAAAAAAATCCCACAATAAAATAAAGTTTTTAACTTTTTAAATTAACAGAAGCATTTTAAACTGACCCACATAAATATAATATGTATAAATATAAACAACAAAAAAAAAACAAATAAAAAATTGAAATTAAATTTTTTTTTTCTTGAATTAATTTCAGTACGATTTAATTAAAATAATAAACTGACTCATATAATTAAAAAAAAAAATGAATTAATGTATAATTGTATAATTTCATTGCCATTATAAACAAACAGATAAGGACTGAAATAATTTAATAATTTTTGATAATTTCAATAACATTTCGTATTGATTTATTATTAACCTTAACTAATCGCGCCGGTGTAAAAAGTACACTAATTTTCAAGAAATTATACCACATCTCTATTTTTCTTCTCTCATCTTTGACACTTAACGTAATCAATGCCCAAAGTGTTTAATAAATGCCGGTGCAATATTGTGTTAACTGCGACACAAAAAAGTTGTTTTTGTGAATGTTCGTTCTTGCTATGAAGTGTTGATGTAATAGCAGACAATGCTGTTAACTATACTCACGCTTATATACAGGATAATGACAATTCTGATTCAGAAATTATTATATTAATGTGTTACAAATAGTTATGAATCTAATGAAAAAGCACTAGTTAACATGAAAAAGTTTTTTCATGTTGTTATACAATCATGTATGTACTCCGTCTGGCAGTAATACATGTGGTGTATAAAATACACCGCGCGAGTAGTACATAGGAAATTCAGTGTGCGAGTAGTAAAAATACGGTATTTGTGTGCTTTACACAAAAATGAGCGAAACAACGATGAAAACTAACTGTTTTGCAAAAGCTTTTGTTTCGATTGTTTCAATATAAATTATATTTTAAATAAATATTTTTAACGGTAATTAAAATTTAATCATAATAAAATTATACTGTGTATTCATTCATATAAATATTAAATTCGATAGCACAAATAAAACAATTTTTGTTTGTTTAGTTTTATAATTCTCTTTGAATTGAAAATGTATATATTGCTTTTTTCGTTAATTAATTTGTTGTTGAAAATGAATGGATATAATTTAGCTGTTCCAAAATAAAATATTTCATGTCACAATTACAGCAATCCCGGACTGTTTGAAACCTGATAAATCGATGATATAAATAAAATGAAAATAAATCGTACAAAAAAGATACATTTTTTTTTAAATTTAATTAGTTTGCAAATTTTAAAACTGGTCTATAATGACTCTGTATTGATCAAATGCGGAATATGCAATGTATAATGCATTTTGAAAAATTATCTATATGAGTAACCAATAACAAAATAGTTAATATGTTAATACATTGGACTTGATGTAATGTAATTAATGATGAAAAATTGTTTGTTTATATTATAATAAGTATGAACTTTATTTATATATTAGATTTTTTTTTATAGGTGATGAAAAATTGTAAACTTGAGTTTATTGATTGAAAACCATGAAAGCGACGAGTACAATTAACTAGTATTTAAACCGCCCCCGTCTGCTCTGCTCCTTATCCATTATAAAATTAAACATTTATTCATACTGATCGATATTCTGCGTCCATTTTTATCGAAAGTTCTTACCACACAACATCATCACATTAATTTCTAATACGATATTGATTAATAAGATGATAATTATACACTTCGTAAAAACTCCAATAATTCATTAATTAATCTCAATCTGATTAATAATTCTACTTAATTCATTTAATTAGTATTGGATATTTGTATACAAATCCACTAACATTTGAAAAAAAAAACAAGATATTTAAGAAAATTTATAAAACCTAAATAGATCTTCTAATTATGACAAATTATACAGTATGTCCTACATCTAAAGAAAATATGCAAATACCTCGCATAGTGCGGATTTTGATTTGACAAAATCCCCCATTATTTAAAACCGGACTAATACAGGTCTTTATTACAGTATAAAAATAGTACAAAAAGAAACTCAATCAATTTAGTTTTATTTTATTCAAATCCTACTATAATAAATCCACACTTATCAAAGTCTTACTATACAAAATATTGATGTATATATTTTTATTACATGTATTAAAATTAAAAAAAATAAATGTATAAAAACAGTTTACTGAGCACGAAATAAATAAACCATTAATTTATGATATTAAATTAAACAAATAAAAAGTAATGGTTTTATATTGCAATAGAAATAATATAATGATTGTTACATAACACATTTTATAATAAAATATATAGACCAAAATATAAAACAAATAAGTAATTCGGAAAGTTGTAAAATGATA